CATGAGACTAAGTTCAAAACCTAGTCAGAAATCTGATCATGAACCATCATATAATCAGCTATATGGTGCGCCCCATATAGCCTAAAAGGTTACCAGATACATTTGAGTTAGTTGCATTTCAAACTTAAATCAACTCACTCAAATATTCTCCCAACATACCGTATCTTCTGGAGCTGATTTTGATGATCAAATCTAGCCAAAATCAGCACCTCATTATCCTTGGATTATGTCCAAAAGATCTCCTCCTGATATGTTCCAACAAGATCTCATCTTATCCTTTTGTTATGAAACAACTTTCATAGCCAATTCAACTTCGAATTTCAAACATTTGAATTCAAACTTTCAAACACTTAAATTTTAAATTCAAATTCAAATTCTAAATTCAAAATCAAATTTCAAAATTCAAAATTCAAAATTCAAATTCAAATTTCAAATTTCAAATTTCAAATTTCAAATTTCAAATTCAAAATTCAAATTTCAAAATTCAAATTCAAAATTCAAATTTCAAATTTCAAATTCAAAATTCAAAATTTAAACATTTGATAATTAATTTAACTAATTAAATTAATTAGTAATGTCTTGGACTATCCAAGCCCATTACTTTGATCCATGCGCCCTCCACCCTATATGTGGAGTTCCAAACTACTTCTTGGGCTAATAACAATTGTTAGGCCACCTTTAATGCTAGAGCATCTAGACAATTAGGTGTTAGTGTGTGACCCATTAGGTCCGACATAGCCACTGACATAAATGGGCTTGGGCCCAATAAGCCCACAACCCATTTAATGACAACACAGAGCACTAGCAATGCTTTGTTGCCCCAGAACTAGTTAGATTAATGACTTGATCATCCTATTACACATATTTGGTTGCCATATATATTTCTTTTCATCTCGGTTACCTTCCCATAAAACCTAGGGTAAGGAAGCATATCAACCACTGCGGTTTAGGGTAAGCTTTATTCGAAATAGGGAATCTTCAATTTACAGACTCTAAAGGCAGATCATCTCATGATCTCTTTTACTATGCATAGATTCCCGAGTCCCTGTAAATGTCATCCCAATTTCTCCGGTTTACAGATAACCTAATCTCTCACAGAGATTTGACGAATTCCTTCAGCTTATCACCCTAGCCCTGTGTTCTTTCAGGACAAGCCCAACAGTATACCTATAAGTCTCCATGTTTCAGGCAGACTAGGCGCACAATCAAAGCATGCCTTCTAAAACACAGTCTAGGTAATAACTTCTGGTCTTAGGAAAGACATACCCAAATATAAAGAGACTACTCTAATGATACTCTCTGTGAGAGTTCCTCATAGAGTCTCTTTGTGGGTCTGTTCAGTGCGAGCTATAACCTTATAGGTCCACCCACGACTTTAGCTAAGACATCTCCATATCTGTAGCTTATGAGGTCTTTACCTTGCATCCAAATACAAGTAGATAAGTCGTGCTAGTCTTACCCAAGATCATTGATCCCCATTCTCAGTGTCTTTAGACTAGGAACATAAAATTAGGAATAAACATGAAGTACCCTTGAATCCTCATAATCGTGATCTCATCACACATACTCAAGAGATACCTATTTTATTCCAAGGGATTTATCCAGTTACTCATATAAATATTAATAGTAATATTGAGACAAAATATGAAACATGATAAATAGTGCTTTTATTTGCGACAATATAAAAGGTCTACATATGTCCTAATCTAATAAAAATATTGTCTCTAGGACATCCATATACTAACATAAGCTATGTAAGTAATTGAAGATTAAAGTGGCTTGTAATAATGCACTAAAATATGTTATAAGTAATAATTGGTCTAGACTTGTAATGGACATATTATTGGCGTATGAGTATGAAAAGTGGAACCATTAAATGATTAAATCGTGGATATGACTTGATTAATTAATATGTAATTAATGATGTGAATGGTTCCTACTCTAGGTGTGCCTAGAGAACCGTGCACTTGAGGATTTTGTTAGAGCATACTTATTATACTGGAGTGTGGGCTTGTGCTAAGCTCCCTACGGTAAGCTCCTAGTTCTAGTTGACTCCTCTCTCTAGTGGCCCCACCATGATGGTGGGCATTATGGTTGTATTGTATGAAAGTATATGGTATGATGTATATGTGCATTCATTCACATTCATATAGATGTTATATGATCTTGATGTTATGATGATGCACTGATGATATATGTTACGAGGATCCTGGCCAGTGATCATGGTATGTAGGCTACCTATGACTTGACTCTGGGAGCTATTTCGTACTGAGGTTGTGTTGACTGTCTATGGCATTACCCTGGAAGTCAAACATGTGTAATCATCTATGGTGTTGACCCTGGTATTACACAAGGATGATATGATGATGCTATGTTTATGCTGTATGTCTGTATTATATGCCTTATATCTGACTTGTCATGCAGGAAGTGGGCTCAGGGAATAGAGGATCCTCTATAAACCTTGAGGTTACTGAGATGTGGTTATCTCACCCCATTTGGGGACATCATTTCAGGTACCCAGAGTAATGGTGATACTTCTAGGGGCAAGGCCCCCGCATTGGAGTAGTTGATGACACAGCTGATGATTTTATATTATGTTTAGACTTGATGATGGCATGTAGACTTGTTAACATGCTTAATTATTTCATTGAAATTATTGTATGTATTTATTTAGGCTCGTGATTGTATTCGCAGAGCCATGGATTATTTACTGATGCTTTTATACTTTGAATTAATATAGACTTGATGCATGTATTCAGTTAATTTGGGCATGGAGCCTTATTATTTGTATTGACCCATTGTGGGCATTGCAGTCCGTGTGGGACTTGCAAGCTATCTGTTTAAATTATTGTATTAATTAGGTGATCTTTATGTGTGGGACCATGTTCCCAGTTATCCGAAATACAGTTGTTATGTTGTCCGTGAGACTCCGTCAGGAATGATACTTGATGTCATATCTTGATGGTCAATAGCCACTAATACTGGCTCATGGGATTAATTAGTAGAAGTATGTTTAGATTTATGCTTTCGCAGTATCTCACGTGAACGTTTTTATAAATGTTTTGAAATAAAAAGTTTACTCGTATTTTTGTAAACGCTTTATTATTTTTTTAAATAAAGTCTTCCGTTGTGTATGCCAAATATCATGTATGTTAACAACCGGAGTACTACAGGGTGTTACATTTATGGTATCAGAGCAGTTTCACCGAGACGTTCACTGATTTATTGCTTAAGTGTTGGAATTACCTGTTGAGCATCTCTTGAGCATCATGATATTGCATATTCCATCACTTGATTGAGCGTAGCTAACTCATACCTTGTGCAGTTGTGTGTAGATATCATGGCTCCTCGAGGGAGACCTAGACGGGTAGTTCAAAACCCACCACCGGACCCCGTTGGTGCTGCTATAGCGGCACTACAACAAACCTTGAACAAGACAAGGGAAGCTTACCTGAAGAGGATAGAAGAGGCCAGAGAGCGCGATAGAGAGCAGTTGAGAAATGCTAGTGAAGATCTTATGGCGCAGAATAGGCTGGCCAATGCTGAGATGATTCGACTACTGTTGACAGAGGTACGAGGAGGACCTCCACCACCTCCTCCACCGCCAGTTACACCACATGTGTAGCAGTAGGCTGCACGTACTGCTGGTACCGTACAGAGTCTTGAGCCTATCGGGCTAGGACAGGAAGGGGCATGAGAGGCTCATCAGGAGGCGGAGGCATCAGTCCATGGGGGACAAGTGAGACAGCCAGTTGTGGAGATTGATAGATCAGTTATGCCACCCAGGTTTGACCGGGAGACTAGAGAGCGTATGTTGAACGCTTTCAAGAAGCATTCTCCACCTCACTACAAAGGTGGAAGAGACCCCATTGTAGCATTGGAGTGGCTCCAGGAGATGGAGCGCATTTTTTTGGTCATGGAATGCGATGCCGAGACGAAGCTTTTGTATGTTGTGTACATGTTACAGAGAGATACAGCAGACTGGTAGAGCAATGTCAGACACCCATTGGAGTGTCAAGGTTATGCTATTACTTGGCCGTTGTTTGAGAGGCATTTTCTGTAGAAGTACTTCCCTGAAGAAGCCAGGGAAATGAAGAAGAGTGAGTTTGAAGACCTCCGGCAGGGAGGCATGACGGTGGATGAATATCTGAGCAAGTTCAGCAGCTTGGCAAAATATTCTTGTTATGGTAGAGTTCCCATCAGTCCAGAAGACAAGGCCTTTCGATTCAGGAAGGGTCTAAATGATATGATAGCAGAGAAGCTGGTTGGTCATTGTACCAGAGATTTTGTGGAGCTAATCAAGTAGTGTCAGAATATTCAGGAGTACTATAGTACCAGAGGAAAGGAAGTAGCGGGAAAGAGCTTCAGTGGGAGGACTACGCCTTGGAAGGGTAAGGGAAAAGGTTTGCAAGCACAGCAGAACGCCAAGTTTAATAAGACTCCCTTTGTGAAAAATGGAAGCGGCATGTCTGGTGCAGGGAAGATTCCTACTTGTGCCAAGTGTGGGAAGATGCATACAGGTGTTTGTCGACTAGGGCAGAATGTTTGCTTCAGTTGTGGTCAGACAGGACACTATTCCAAAGAGTGCGACAAGAAGACGGGGCAAGTTGCAGCTATTTAGGCGATCCTGATTCAGTCCGTGCCTACTCAGAGAGCCATAGAGAAGCCTATGATGCCCACTAGTGCCAGGGTATATACAGTGACACAGCAGGAGGCTGAGAGGTCTCCAAACCTTATCAGAGGTATTATTCTTATCAGAGGATATGCATTTGATGCCATGTTTGATTCGGAGCTACCCACTCCTTCATATCAGAATTCGTTGCTAATGGATTACATTTGCCCATTTATGAGTTCACGCCTTCCATGGTAGTGAAGACTGCCACCAGAGATATTGTTTCTACTTCTTTGAAGTGCAAAGAAGTCAGATTCATATATGAGCAAGAAGAGTATATAGTGGATTTGATAGTGCTTGAGGGCATGAACCTACATATTATATTGGTATGGATTGGCTGGTTCGGTATGGTGTGATGCTCGATTGTTGTAGCAGGAGGATTTTCTTTTCTTCAAAAGGAGAGAAGCCAGACAGTTTGTACTTGACAGCACCACAGTTAAATAAGGCTCTAGATGAGGGAGATTCAGGATATATTATCCTGGGAGGACTCGTAGGAGACTCCAAAGAACCTACTGCTAATATTTTGGTTGTGTGCGAGTTTGAAGATGTATTTCCGGAAGAAATTCCCCATTTTCCACCTGAGAAGGAGATTGAATTCTCAATCGACTTAGTACCTGGTGTGAGGCCTATCTCATTGGCTCCATACCGGATGTCACCAGTGGAGCTAACAGAGCTTAAGAAACAGTTAGAAAAATTGTCCCGCAAGAATTTTATCAGACCGAGTGTATCTCATTGGGGTGCACCGGTGATCTTTGTGAAGAAGAAGGATGGGACGATGAGATTGTGCACTGATTATCGTCAGTTAAACAAGGTGACAGTAAAGAACAAGTATCCTCTACCATACATAGATGATTTGTTGGATCAGCTCAGAGGTGCTTCTGTGTTCTCAAAGATTGATCTTCGTTCCGGATATCACCAGATCCGGGTAAAGGCCGAGGATATTTCGAAGACGGCTTTCCGATCCAGATATGGGCACTATGAGTATCTAGTGATTCCATTTAGGCTTACTAATGCCCCAGCCGTGTTCATGAGTTATATTCAAACCACATTTAGATCAGTTTGTTGTGGTATTCATTGATGATATTCTGATCTACTCCAAAACTAAGGAAGAACATGTAGAGCATTTGAAGATAGTTCTATAGATTTTAAGGGAGCATCAGTTATATGCCAAACCATCTAAGTTTGAGTTTTGGTTACATGAGATCCAGTTTCTTGGACACGTCATCTCATCTATAGGAGTGGTTGTTGATCCGAGTAAAATTGAAACTATGCTGGATTAGGAGAGACCCAAGAGTGTTACTGAGATCCAGAGTTTTCTGGGTTTAGCCGGATACTACAGGCGATTTATTAATTGATTCTCCAAAATCGCCTTGCCATTGACTAGGTTGACCCGAAAAGGGGTGCCATTTGCATGGACCCTTGGGTGTGATTAGAGTTTTCAAGAAGTGAAAAATAAGTTGACTACTGCACCGGTTCTGATTCTTCCTGATCCAGAGAAGAGATTTGAGATCTATTGTGATGCATCCAAGTATGGATTAGGGTGCGTGTTGATGCAGGAGCAAAAGGTAAGTGGCCTATGCTTCTAGACAGTTGAGACTACATGAAGAGAACTACCCTACTCATGATCTTGAGTTAACGGCCGTGGTTTTTGCATTGAAAATATGGAGACACTTCTTGTATGGTGCTACCTTCACAGTTTTTAGTTATTACAAAAGCTTGAAGTATCTATTCGATCAAAAGGAGCTTAATACGATACAAAGGAGATGGATGGAATTCCTGAATGGTTATGAGTTTGACCTTCAATATCACCCTGGAAATGCGAATGTAGTGGCTGATGCCTTGAGCAGAAAGACCACGGGTGTGGCTAGCATGATGATTGCAGAGTATGATTTGATTGAGTTGTTCAGGGATTTGCGAATTTCTTTGACACCATTTGAGACTTCATATTTCATGACTACGGTCGAAGTCCGAAATTCGTTAATGGAAAAAGTTAAAGCGGCCCAAGTGCTTGATGAAGGGATCCAAATGATGAAAGAGCAAGATTTTGTGTTCACCGATGCTTCTCATGTGAAATACTACAAAAATCGGTTAATTGTCGCAAAGGGGCCAATGGTAGAAGAAGTGTTAACAGATGGCCATATGGGTAAGTACACCATTCACCCGGGTGCAACTAAGATGTACCAAGATTTGAAACAAAATTTTTAGTGGTCTGGGATGAAGAAAGACATAGCCCAGTTTCTGAATAAGTGTCTTATTTGTCAGAAGGTAAAAATTGAGCATCAGAAGCCTTCTGGTTTGTTACTTACAATCATTAGATATCTCGGAGTGGAAGTGGATGAGTATATCCATGGACTTTGTTGTTGGATTACCGAGAAGCCATGCTAGATTTGATTCCATATGGGTTGTGGTTGATAGGTTGACTAAATCCGCCCATTTCATTCTAGTTAAGACGACTTTCTCCACAGAGCAGCTAGCCAGACTATATTTTAGAGAGATATTGAAGCCTCATGGCATTCCCGAAAGCATAGTCAGTGATCGGGATCCGAAGTTTACTTCACGCTTCTGTGAAGCGTTGCATGAGGCATTTGGTACTCAATTGAGATTGAGTACTGCATATCACCCGCAGACAGATGGTCAGACAGAGAGGACCATTCAGACACTAGAGGACATGTCGAGAGCATGTGTGTTAGAGCAGGGTAATGCTTGGGACAAGTACCTGCCATTGGTTGAGTTCTCCTACAACAACAGTTATCATGCCAGTTTGGGCATGACTCCTTATGAGGCCTTGTACGGCCGTAGGTGTAGAGCACCTACATGTTGGACGGAGATTGGAGAAAGACAATTATTGGGGTCAGACTTGGTCCAAGAGACTACAGAGATAGGCTGAAGAAAGCCCATAGCCGTCAGAAGAGTTACTACGATGCTAAGCACAGACCCCTCGAGTTCTCTGAAGGGGATCATGTATTCATCCGATTATCACCCACTACAGGTGTTGGCGTGCCTTGGGGGAGAGGAAGTTGAGTCCACGGTTCATTGGGCCCTACTAGATAATAAAGAAGGTCGAACCGGTGGCGTATCAACTTGCCCTACCTCCCAACTTGGCGAATTTACATGATGTCTTCCATGTGAGTCAGCTCCGTAGATATATATCTGATGGTTCACACATTGTACAGCCTGATGACATAGAGGTTAAGAAGGATTTGAAGTTCGTTGTTGGATCTTCTAAGGTTCTTGCTCGAGATGAGAAACAACTTCGAAATAGAGTTATTCTCATTATCAAGATTCAATGGGAAGGATTAACACCTGAGGATGCCACACGAGAGTGGGAGGATGATATTCTCCGACGATATCTTGACTTTGATATCAGGTATGATCCGATTTTGAGGACAAAATCATTTTAAAAGGTGTGGTGAATATAATAACCCTAATTATATAATTTTTAAATTAAAGGGTTATGATGAGGACTTTATGGTCATAAATGAAATGAGGATGAAATTCTAAGAATTTTGATACCCATATTGAGGATATTTTGCACAAATGAATTTTCATCTGTTAATTTTGACTGCTGACGCAGTAACAGTTAGTAGAATAGCTCCAAGTTAGCAAATTATATTTAGAGAGCTAATCTAATGATATAAACATCATAAATGAGGTTAGGATATGATTTGATGAAGATTCATACCCATATTGGGGTATTTTTGAAAAGTCACTTCTGCCGGTATTTTGTACTGCTGTAGCAGCAGCCGGTAGAATCCGAAAACGAGAAAAAGATGAGAAAATGGAAATAAAGACCAATATATGCCTAACAAGTCATAATTAGACCAAAAATGTTAAAGTTAAGAAGATTATGAAATCTGGGTACAGTTAAGAACATCGGTAAAGACTACAGAGCAATTAAATAACTGTTAGTGGATCTGTGATCTACTAATCAAATTTTTAAATTATGAATATGATAATTAGAATAAATTAATGTTAAGTACTTAAATTTAGAGTCTTGGGAGTTTCCGGGTAAAAAATTTGACGACAGATCAGTTAAAAATTACACTGGGTCTCACTAAAGGACGAATGGTAACTTAGTGACATGGCACCCCTCATTAGGGAACCCCTCCTCCCATTTCCGGTCAGAATGTGCAGCATCCCTTCTCACTTCTCTCTCTAAAATTCAATTTTTGAATTTTCTCTCACTTCTCTCTAAGATTTCATCTCCAAAACCTCTCCAAATCACCAAATTTTCTTCACCAAACTTGCTCCCCTCATTCTCCTCTTCTCAACCATACCAATTTCATGGTGTGGATCAAATTTTCGTGTTCTTTATCCCCAAACACAGCCATGGTTTTGAAGGTTTTGAGAGCCACAGAGCTATGTTCTTGAGTTCTCTTGAAGATCAACACATCCTTGCTTGGTTCTTTTGAGTTCTAGTGTAAGTGTTCTTAAACTTTCTTGAAAGATATCATCTTTTTCTCTTGTGTTCTTGAGCCTAACTCATGAGCATGTTCATGAAGGTTTTTTCTTGCTTAAAGGAGGGTTCTTGGTGGAAAAAGGTGGAGACTTGAGTTAAAGGAGTAACCTTGAAGATGTAAGCTTCTATTTGAGTGAAATAACTCAAAAGCCTTTCCTTTGTGCCCTTGTGCCCTTGTGTGCCACAGTTTTGATGTGTCATGAAGGAATATTGTTTAAGTTTTTTTATTATGTCATGGTTTGATGATGATCCTTAAGTGTGTGTGTGTTTGGAACCATGGAATGATGGACTGGATGACTAAAGGTGCCACCTTTGGACCTTTGAGTGAGGTTCATGTAAAAAGATGACTATGAACCCTAAATGGACAATGAACATTTTGGCCATATCATGTAAGGATGAGGTTTTATGACAAAAAAATGTGATTAAGTTGTTAAGTATGGAAAAATGATTAGAAAGATTAACTAGGTGGGTTAACTCTAAGTAAAACTCACTAATCATGTTTAATAATGGCTAAAAACCCTAATTAAAATAGCTCATCAAATCTGCCCCATAAATTATATAAGGGTTTAGTTGTGTTAAAATTAAGGAGAGGATGAATTAGGGGATTAATTAAGGGTAGGGATTAATTAACAAAAGTAATTAAGGATTTAACTCTAAAATTGGACTAAAGTAGGGTTTAGGTACACTAATTAAATAATTAGTAAAATTTAAGTATCATGAAATAATGGGACTAAATATATTTCATAATGTGACTTAATAATAGAAAAATCCAAGAATTAATGTGAATTAGGATTTATAATCAAAAGTAATTAAGGTTTGTTAAGTAAACACATTTAAGGCTAAGTAACCAATTTTTAGGCGAAATTGGGGAGAGCATATCTCCCTGCACAGATGACATATAGGGATGTGCCTTATATAAAATTGAAGGTTGAGATGTTAGCTATGTGGTGTCAAAATTTGGTATCAATTCAAGCGATTGAGGACTACATAGGAAGGCCATGTGCAGGGGCTGTACATGGCTGAAACTTCCACGAATTGTTTCTCCCCCTGTGATTACTAAAATTAGGCTCATAATATGTCAAATTAAATATAAAGGTGTCTAGTTTTCTACTAAAATATTTTAGAACAATTGGTTTATTAGATTTTCCAGAATTAAATAAATGGTAAAGGATATTTAGGGTCCTGTTCGGAGTTGGCAAACAACTTTGCTTGTCCAACTTCAAATGGTGATAACTGGAGCTAGAAAACTCCAAATGAGGCATGTGATATCTTGTTGTAAAGTTAATTGAGTCTATATTAACATACTAAAAGATGAGAATTTTATAACAAGTGAGTTGCACTCAGTAACTAGAAAATAGAAGCATGTATAGTTATGGAAAAATCGTAAAAGTGATATTTAAGCTAAGTGGGCTTATGGGAATCCTTAGTAACTTATAATAATCATAAATATGGCTTGGATGAGTTGAAAATAATGTAAGTTATTTAAGTGAGCCTTGCATGTGATTCTAAGCTATGTAAGTATTTGAAGATTAAAGTGGCTTGTAATAATGCACTAAAATATGTTATAAGTAATAATTTGTCTAGACTTGTAATATGCATATTATTGGCATATGAGTATGAAATGTGGAATCATTAAATGACTAAGTCGTGAATATGACTTGAATTATTAATATGTAATTAATGATGTGAATGATTCCTACTCTAGGTGTGCCTAGAGAACCGTGCACTTGAGGACTTTGTTGGAGCATACGTATTATACTGGAGTGTGGGCATGTGCTAAGCTCCCTAAGGTAAACTCCTAGTTCTAGTTGACTCCTCTCTCAGTGGCCCCACCATGATGGTGGGCATTATGATTGTATTGTATGAAAGTATATGGTATGATGTATATGTGCATTCATTCACATTCATATAGGTGTTATATGATCTTGATGTTATGATGATGCACTGATGATATATGTTACGAGGATCCTGGCCAGTGATCATGGTATGTAGGTTGCCTATGACTTGACTCTGGGAGCTATTTCATACTGAGGTTGTGTTGACTGTTTATGGCTAGACCCTGGAAGTCACACATGTGTAACCGTCTTTGGCCTTGACCCTGGGGTTACACAAGGATGATATGATGATGCTATGTTTATGCTGTATGTCTGTATTATATGCTTTATATCTGACTTGACATGCAGGAAGTGGGCTCAGGGGTTAGAGGATCCTCTATGAATCTTGAGCTTACAGAGATGTGGTTATCTCACCCTGTTTGGGGATATCATTTTAGGTACCCAGAGTAGTGGTGATACTTCTAGGGGCAAGGCCCCCGCATTGGAGTAGTTGATGACGCAGCTGATGATTTTATATTATGTTTAGACTTGATGATGGCATGTAGACTTGTTCACATGCTTAATTATTTCATGTCTTTATTTAGGCTCATGATTGTATTTGTAGAGCCATGGATTATTTACTGATGCTTTTATACTTTGAATTAATATAGACTTGATGCATGTATTCAGTTAATTTGGGAATGGAGTCTTATTATTTGCATTGACCCATTGAGGGGATTGCAGTCCGTGTGAGACTTGCAAGCTATCTGTTTAAATTATTGTATTAATTAGGTGATCTGTATGTGTGGGACCATGTTCCTAGTTATCTGAAATACAGTTATTATGCTGTCTGTGAGACTCCGTCACGAATGACACTTGATGTCATATCTTGATGGTCAATGGCCACTAATACTGGCTAATGTGATTAATTAGTAGATGTATGTTTAGATTTATGCTTTCACAGTATCTCACGTGAACGATTTTAGAAATGTTTTGAAATAAAAAGTTTACTCGTATTTTTGTAAACACTTTATTATTATTTTTAAATAAAGTCTTCCGTTGTGTATGCCAAATATCATGTATGTTAACAACCGGAGTACTACGCGGTGTTACACATCAACCTCACCATCGAAGATCTCTCACTCTATGCACAACTCACCTATTGTACAAGAAGGTGAAACAATTTCTCACGCGCAAAATACAGTAAAGTAATGGGCAAAACGGTTAAATTCTCTCTCTCTCTCTCTCTCTCTCTCTCTTTCTCGTATCATTATATAATATTTCCTACTTATATATACCCATCTTCTCCACCTGATGAGACATATCTTACATCAATTACTTTTACGAGTTGCTACACTACACAAATATAAAGTCACAATGTCGATACACTCTCGCTCCCCTATCTCAATCATACCAGAGATAACTCCAACGATGACTCCTCCTGAGCTGTGGTCCACTCTTTTAACACCTACACAACGAGTAAATGTGTCAAAATTAGCTTAATCCCGCAGGCTATATTTGATCCTAACTCGCTAAGCCTTTTTTGTGGTAAAGCCTTCACCCTCACAACCTTATGATTTGGCAGGTTGGATTAAGGTTTATCTGTGAGCCAAATTTTTTCCTTGAATAAAATTTTCATTATTTAAAAAAATAAGTGTATATATATATATATATATATATATATATAATATACAAATTTAAATATTTATAAATATAAAAAATTATAAATATAATATAATAATACAAATATACTTTATATATATAATTTAATGGAATATATATAATAATTATATATTTTAAAAATTCAATAATAATTTTTATTTATTTATTTTAGTTGTCTTTTTGAATTATTTTTAATGAAAGATATTTCCTACTCTATTTATAATATGATATCCACAATAAAATTGACTATCAAGTTATGTATAAAAAAAAAACTATCAAGTTAAAATATATATGAATTAATCGAAAACTTAAAAATGCACTTCTATCAAATTTAAATAACATAAAAGAGTTAAACTTATATTAAAATATGAGTTTATATTGTTTGAATCATCCAAATGTGAATCCAATGGTATGGAATCTAAAAAATATTTT